AGGAAAACCATTATTTCTGTGTTTACTGAACAAATTCACACAAAGCTTGTGTGAGGTAATGAAAATTTTTGCTCCTGGACCTGAAGAAAACTTTACAAGAAGGTTGTCATCTTTCAGACCACTGAACCAGATCTGTCAAAGGACACTGCTTCCCTTGACTAACCACTTTTGTATGTAGTGTCCTTCTTTCTGGTAATGCTCATTTCAGCCCCCAGGTATAGCTACTATATCTTTGTTTTGAACTACTATTTGTTACTTAACTTTGCAATTACTTTGTGTAATCTAAAACCACTTTGGATTGCAGCTTGTGAAAAGATTCCTTGGAAAATAAAAGTATATGGTATTGTGATTCTAATCAGCAAATTCCAGGGCCATAAACTTCAAAGAATCTTTGCAATGTGAATTTCCCCTGCTTCTGAAAGTCACTTTTCAAGATAAATGTAGGATCTTTCAAAGACAGAGATGGATATCTACAGGTACCAAGGTACAACCTGCATATTTAGAAGCAGTAGCACTTTTTTCTAATATACTGATAAAATCCAAACAGATGGTCAAGCAGGACAGATGATCTGCTAGGCATGAATCATTTCACCAGTCCTGTGACTTTGCTGTTAAGCAGCTCTAGATGGGCATATATACAGAAATTGCAGTGACTCGCAGCACAGACACTGCAAACAATGAATGCTCAAAACCACCTTTTATGTCTATTATTTATATATGGTATCTTAATCGTAGCAACTTAATGCAACTTAATGCAAGTGCAGGAAATTCTGGAAGTGAAGGAACTATGAACTGATGTCATGTAATCTTCCAGGCAGAGTGGAAATAGTATGGCAGCAACTTCCTCAGCTGAGACCTCCTGAGCTCTGTAGATGACTTCAATGGATGTTGTTACCCCTCCTGACAGAAGAGACATCCTCCCTCTGCAAATCCATTCACACAAAACACCAGAGGGATCTCCCTGCACGTTCCTTTACAGTGAAACTCCACAAACACTTATGTCAACACCCCTGAGAGAGCGCTGCAGGGCAGGGAGATGTGCGGGGGAAGGAGATGATGGGAATTCCACTGCCATTAGAAGGCAGGAATATCTGTTTCTACATATTATTACAGCAACTGGGTCCACCTGAAGTTTAAATCCAACCCAGTCATGTTTTAACAATTTAAGATGAAGACTATCCATCCTATGTGTCTATAGATATGTATTCCAGAACCATTTTCCCTGTTTTGCCCACTCCAGCAATGATGAGATGGGGAGTGATGGAGTAGTTCTGCTACACCTTCATTTAACTCCAGCTTCACTGTCTCAATTAAGAAGAAAAGCTGAAACCAGTCAGGACTTTAAGCCCTCTTATCCTACCACAGAACTACAAAAAGAGTATCTTAACAAAAATTTCCTTTTTCTTTTCCTTATATTATAAATTTTTCCTTTGCCTACAATAAATCAGCACCTGACCGGAAAAAAAAAAAAAAAAGGAAAGGAAACGTGATGCAGCTTCTTAAGCAATACCAATCAGCACCATGACTGTAATTCTGCTTTCAGTGGAATCTGACTCCTCCCAAAAGCAGAGACATCTTCTCTCCCCACTTTTCAAAGCAGGCCAGTATTTCCCCCAACTTGATGACTTGCTTCAGCTTGCTTTTCAGCCCTTCTGAAGTGTGATCCAAGTTCCCCTGGTTATGAAGGCAATTCAACAATCTCCCTCCACCAACAAGAACTAGCCCATCATCACTGTAGCAGGATTCAAGAAATTTAATTGCAGTTAGTGAATTTAAACATATTTCAGACAAAGGGGTTTACTCCACAAATGTGAAATACTGTCTACCTGAGCCAAGAGATATATAAATAACCTTAATCTGTTTTTATAAAATGCAAAACAGCAGCAAAATACTACTCTTCAGCTATTTTTGAAAGCCATAATTTTTACCATTTGTACTGCACTCAATGACATTCTTAGTAATAGCCAAGTATGTGTGCTCTGCATGGAATGTCCTCTGGCCTTCTGCTCAGTTTCTGCTTCACTTCCAATTCTTCTTTCCTGTCCATTTCCTGTCCAGGTTCCATAATCTCCTCTGGGGTTATTCAAAGATCTGTCCAAAAGCAGGAAATACTTCTAAAATGCTGACTGCCAGGAAGCAGCTTCAGTCCCAAATCTGCCTAAGAGTTAATCTGAATGTGGACTTGTTTTTAATCAAGTGTGTGACAAGACTGATACTGTAGTCACCAGATGTGATCAGGATACTGACACAGTCTTGAAGAGCAAGCTCAGCACTGTTTTTACTGTTTTACCTATAGTCCATCAATGCTGTAGCTGCTGGAAGCAACAAGAAAACACAAGCCACTCTTTGACAAGTCATTACAGTCAGGAGCTGGGAAGACCTTTCTATGCCTTTATGCAAAGCCAGGTAATTCATGCAACCTCAAATAGAACTGCAAAACAGGAACAATTGAAGTTAATCACGCTCAGCAGTAATTTCTTAAGCACTTCGTAACTGGTGATTTTTTAAAGGTCACACAGACACTACCATAATAACATTAAAGTTATTCTTGCCAAGCTCACATTCACAGTCTCCTGTCCCAGTCACAAGGATGTGATAAATCAGCACAGGTCTGATTTATCTCCTCTAAATAACAGCTTACACAGGTAAGCAACAACAGAAAGATTTATTCAGCTCTAACTTACCTACACGTATTACAAATGCAAGTTATATCTATAAAGGCAAGGGCCAGATTTAGTCTCAGATTGAGCAGCTGTGTCTGACAATGTGAATCTACTTCAATAACCAGATGGCACACACCAAGTCCATATACATAGAACAGACAAAACAACAAGATATTTATTTCCAGCCTTGAAAAAAAAATCCCAAACTAAATTGAAAAAACAATCACAAACTAAATAAAAAGGTATTTTAATGCCCTTTTTGATTTCAAATGCCTTTGTCCTAGGCAAACTGAAATTATCTTGAAGTCAAAAAGTAAGCTCAGCTGTGCTGTGCAATGATTCCATTAACCTTGCAACCAAGCATAAAATTCAATGCCCTTGTTTGGATTTCCCTGCTGCAGGGGAAAATGTACCTTGTAATGTCTGTGCTTTGCCTTACCAGAGCCAATGAGTAAAAGCCTCCCAACTAAACTTCTACAACTAATAGCATAAGAAACTAAACAAGCTGGCATATTGCAAAAATTCCTCTGATAACTTTTTAATGATTACCCTCATGCTCACAGGTTCAGAGTCTTTTACACTTGTTCTCCCATGCATTCAATTAACATCTGCTTTGAACAAGTTAAATAGAATCTTAATATGTTTTCTGCATGTACCAATGAAGTAACTCAGCACCCCTGCTCACTGCCTCACAGAATGAAGAAAACAATTAATTACTGCACAGTTTTATTCAACTCCTTTTCCTTATGTCCCTTTTTACCCTGGAAAACAACACGAACTAAGATTAATTTTTTGTTTAAACTGCACATCATGGTCACCCAGCAAGTAAAGAGGAGCTATTTTTAAATCACTGCCCTACTGTCATCTCATCTCCTACATAAGGTATTATATTCTAAATAAAAAAGACTAAATCGAAGCAACACATCATAATACCACCAGCTCTGGGACCTAGGGTGATTTTTCTGCCATGCAGAGTCTTTATTGTGTGTAAAGTCTGTCCCCCTCCAAGTGAATTGAAAGGATGATTTTCAAAGCTGAAACAACTGACAACCCAGGGATTGCATTTCAGTGGGTCACAGCCCCATTCTAGGTGGAATACATTTAAACCCACAAATAATCCCTCGTGTCAGATGTTCCTAATTGGTGCCTGATGTGTGGTGTCTTCAGCAAAGGAGCTCAGCAAACAAAAAGTGTTGCAAGCACAGAAAATACTGGATGGGGAAGGAATCAATGGCAGGAATGTATCACTGGCTCTCCAGAAAGCTGAAACTTAAACAACAATATACTTTATCTTAGACAAATGCTGAATTTTAAACAGATGCTTTTGCTACTGTGGCAATGTTCAGAAGCCACAGCAGCAGAAGAGAATGACACTTGATTCATGTCCAGCTGCATCACAGCCCTCACCCACAGGACCAGCAGCGAGTGCTGGTTGGGTTTCAAGCTGCAAACTTCAGAAAGAGATATGAGCTCCTGGAAAAATCCAGGCATATTTTACAACTGGCAAGCATATGTTGACCTGTAATTCAAACTGAGCTGGGATTCTCTGAGAGGTTTCAGTTCTTTTGTTTAGATTTGACATCCTGCTCTTTACTAATATCATGAGGATGCCAAAGCAGATTTAGTTCTAAATCTTGGCAGATTTAGATTTAGTTTGCTTAGAAAACAAGGCTAGATTCTCCATCACTTATATTTCTTTAGTGATATATTACTATGAAGAAAGTATCAATAATATCAAGCTCAGTCAAGTGCATTATGTACTGAGAATGACTTACAAATAGCAAAAAGAGAAAAAACTTTTTGTTCAAAAATTGGTTTGAATGTGTACTTCAAAATTTGTGTTTTATACTTAGAGACCCATCATGGAAGAAAAAGCATATGGGTCACTTATTGCATCAACAGTGACACTGATCAGACTTTGGAAGGGAAAGAAGCAGCTATGTGCTGACCTCATTAAAGGCAACAGTATTTAAGCCATTTATATCAACATTAACAGAATATTTCACCGGGTTCCTTTGTGACTGCACTACTATAAATTATGGATTTCCAATCCCCTAATTCTTGACATTTGGCCTTGACTGCCCACATTGAATCACCAGAACTGGAGGAGAATCAAGGGACACGAGGATAGAATTGGGTCCTTTCTATTTCAAACACTACTCAAACAGGAGTTTAACACTTCCCTGTGTCGCCTGCCATCCACAACAACGCGGGAGCGATTCCAGCGAAGCGCTTGGGAGACATTTCTCCTGACACCTCCGTGAGCCCAGAGGCTGAAACCCTCTGGAGAAGAGGATACGCATGCACGGACTGCCAAGGTGCTGAGTGCTTCCGTACCTGTCGGCGTCGCCGAGCCCCAGGGCCGTGCCGCGCTGCAGCGTCTCCCGCACCGTGGCCATGCCGTCGGGCAGCCGGTTCAGCCGCCGCGTGTACAGCCCCAGCCCGCCGTCCGTCAGGTACCTGGCAACAAAACACCACCTTCAGTAGAGCAGGGAAATCCCACGGGTCACCCCAGCACCCGCGGCGCAGGTCCCCCGTTTTTATGGTAAGGGTGCTACACGAAATCAGAGTTGGAAACGTCGTCCTCCAACTCTCAGCGGGCTTCATTGCACCTTGCGTGCTCTTGTGGGTGCTGGCGAGAGCCAGGGAAAACAGAAGTTTGAGTTTTCCCAAGCTACTCAAAGGAAAACAGAAGGGAAAGAATTAATAACAAAGTTTAGTGCCTGGTGTTGTGGACAGGAGGAGTGTGTGAGGAACATGATGTTTTGGTAAGAGCATGTTCACAAGAGATGCTGCCTTCCTTGGACCACTGAGCTTATTCTATCCCTGGTTCACTGAACCAGTCTATAAAAATGTTTTTACTCCTTCCATAAATTACTTCTTCTGTTTTCTGGATGAAGTCTGTGTTGCTGTGTTTTTTCGCCGCTCCCTAGCCTTACAGAGACATGCTCTCTCATCACCAAGACTCAAATTTCAACATAAATACAATAAAGGATGCTGAAAGAAAACTTAACTTTCATTAAGACACCTATATGGAAGTAATTTAATATTTGTGAATGCTATCATTAATGATTCCTTCTTGCCCAAAAAATACATGGTTTATACCGCCCTGAATTTTTCTGCATGGGCTAAAAGGATGTTACATGAAATTAGAAGCATGGAAAACGTCATCCTCCACCTCTGATCATTCTCCATTACAGCTTGCATGCTCTCTCATTGCCAAGACTCAAATTTCAACATAAATGTGATAAAGGATGCTGAAAGAAAACTTAATTTTCATTAAAATACCGATATGGAAGTAATTTAATAGTTGAAATCTCTACTTACTAAAAAAATATGTGGTTTATACCACCCTGTATTTTTATGCATGGGCTGGCTAAAACACAATCAAAATTTCAAATATTTTAAAAGTTAACCGCAAACATCACAATGACTTAATCCCGAGATTTTGCCAGTGAACAATAAACTTAAAGTATTCCACAGCTTATTGAAATCATCATGGATGAAAAGTTTTTTGCAACCTTCTTTTGGTTCCTACATTCTACTCTGGCTGCAACTGTGACCTAGAGACACCTACATTTAAAAATTACTATTGACTATTACTATTCTTAGGCATGAAGAAGTGCCAGGTGTACACATGACACTTCATAAATTACTAAGATAGCACATTTCTTACTTTCTGGTTTAGACAAATGAAAAATGGATGTTAAATTGAACAGAGATGATACATGGCGAGCAATGGCATGGAGCAAGCCCTGTGTTACCACAACAGTTCATCAGTTCATGCAGGTCTGTGTGAGCAGCACTGCCAGCTGAGTAAACACACCGTGAGGATTTTCACACACCTGAGACTGAAATAACTCCAACAACCCTGGCACTATGGTCACTGCTCCCAGCACACTGCTGGACAAACACCATAGCCCCCCAAGACAGGAGCTGACAGGACTGTATCTCCTCAATCCTTTAGCCACTCTTAGCAAATCGACTGCAGACCACAGAATATTATCCAGATATCAGGACACCTTCCTACAGCTCAAGAAAGCACACAGCTTTCTCCCTGATAGTGAGACACCCTCACCCACAGCAGGAAAGGAGAGATGCTCCGAGCTGCAGGCAGCAGTGTCTCTGCTGGCAAGATCTCACTGTGCACATGGGCTTTACCCAACCCCAATTTGATGAGTACATTTATAAAAATGGGATAGTGAGCAGTTGGGAAGCCTTGCCCAATCTGCTGATTAGCACTGTAGTTCAATGTATAAATCTGTACAGGGCCATCCCAGCAGCAACCCAGGAGTCTCTGTGGAGTCTAACAAAGAGGTTGCCAAGACCATCAAGTCAGACACAGGAGTATTCCCCACTCAGCAAATCTGTGGGGATTCTCCCAACTCATAAACAAAGAAAGCACAAGGAGCAGTTGTGCTGTAGCATGTAGAATTCGCCTTAGGTTTGGCATTCTAACTTGTGTTTGACAATTTATAAATATTTTATCATGGAAGAATATATTTTTTCCTTAAGCTACTAAAATGAAGGGGAAGAAGAGAAAAGTGGAGCTTCAGACCATAATGTTATACAAACATGCAAAGAGTATTTTGCAAAAAACATCTAATGTACATACACTAATTGGTTTACTGCAGCTACTTGTCTGCACATGAAGAAAGTTTCTGTAGAAATACTCTTTGCACGTGTGCTGGAAAACGCAGCTTCTGGCTTTGCTGTCAGATTCCTGGCATATTGGTCCTTTGATAAAAAGGTCTGTTACAACTGAAATAGATTGCTTTTCATACCTATCACTCAGAATGTGTGGAAATAAATATAGTGCTCTTAAGAGCTAGCCATGCTGAAATCAATGCCTTTTCACCAGCAGCAGCATATTTAATCTTCTACACAAAAGCCTAGCAAGCTAAAATATTAGAATAACACTGCAGTAGCTCAAATTTTAAAAATTGGTATCAAGCACTGATAAATGTTACATTAGCCAATGGACACTGGATGGCTTTGGACCTTTGACAACTAGATCATGACACTTTTCTAAACAAGTCCAAGTGAAAAAGCATAGCCATAAACAATGACTTTTACCCCCCATACCAATAAGACAAGTTTCTTACATGCCAGAACAACACAGGATAGGCTTTTGGATTTTGAAACAGGCTTGTGTAATCACAGTTTGAAAGCCTTGTATCTTATTTTTATTTCACACAATATCCTCTACCCAGGAATGTTTAATTCAGAAAAGATGCCAAAACCAATGATGCCTGAAGTCCTGCATGCAACAGCAAGGTGAAGGAAGAAGGAAAGGCACTAGCTTCTAAAGTCTGGGGAGAAAAATACATCTAAAATAAATACACTTTAAAATAAAAGAAAAAACCCTCTTTACTATCCATTGGTTAGTGCAGAGGAGATTCAAAGCTACTGGTGGCACAAACCTCCAGCCATTGCTTTTCCTTCCTCTCCATCCTTTCAAACTTCAATTGCCTTGGCTTTAAGAAACTGTCTTGCCCTAGAGAACACATTATTATTGCTGCAGGCTTTTGCTTTATGGGAAAGGAGAATATAATGAAGGCACATTTTTCCATAGAAAATCTTCCGGTGTTTTACTCAGGGGGTAACAAGACTAAGGAAATATTATCCTGTATATAACTGTAACAGTACTCAAGAGTTATTGGAATTTGTTATCCTATCACATCCACACAATGTGGAACCTGAGAATATTGGCCTCTCCTCTACAATGACACATTGCAGTCCAAACAACTTAGGCTAGGCCTAAGTGTAATTTATCTGACTTTTCATATTAAATATCATGACAAATTTACACTAAAAGCCTTGTTAGTTTCATGACTGCTCAGAATTCTGCAAGCACATTCAGTGCAAAAGAAATAGGACTTAGAAGTATTCTTTTACCTACCCCAAAACAAGAAAAAGTTTTAATATATGATCTGGGGAAAAGCATAGTATCCAGACTTTCACAGAGATAGGTAAATTGTACAAAAAATTTAATCTCACACATGCTTTATGAATGGTACCAACAGCCAGGGGAGTGACTGCCTTTAATGAAGCTGAATACAATAATATTTAATGAATGGACAGTGAAACAGTGATGAAGTTGGTTAAAAGGAGTTTCTGATCTTTCCAGGAATTAATGTACAAATATTCATTGCTATAGCTTCACTCTTCATCAGCAAGGAAAAAAAAGAATCAAATTTCTGTCGATATGAAAAGACTCAGGTTAAACAAGAGCAGTATTATGCATTTCTAACATACAGTTAGGACTTCTAGCCCACTTTCTAGGTGACACTTTCTTCCTATTAGAAAGTGGCTCCCTGCCCTGCATTACAGGCATAAAGCAATTTGCTTTGGACAACCGGGACCTTTAAGCTTCTCTTTTCTTTAGCCAACTACACCTTTTCTGTGCCTCTGAAATTTTGAGTGCTGTAACAAGCCCTTCCAAGTGTAATATTTTTAGGGTATTTCTGATGCTGATGTGATTTATTTCCCTTTCCTGAAAGGCACACTGAGGAAACAGCAATGGGTCATGCCAGGGATCAGCAAAATCCAGTGGTCTGAATCACTTGACTTCTGTCTGCACTCCCTACTTACTGACAGGTACAGCCAGCCAACAGCACACTTACTTTTATGGTCTGACAACTCTACCACTTCATATATATTCATTTCAGTCCTTAATGCATGAATATGAATTTTCCAAGTTTGAAAATAGATAGCCAAGGGAAAAGCATTCTTTACTTAAGGATTAGGAAAAGAAGGAGCAGCAGGTAAATCAGCAACACACAACAGACCAGGCAAGCCTACCCTGACCTGCTCAGGATCCTGCAGCTCCAAAATCCCAATCCCACAAGCAGGAGAACAGCCTCGAATGGGACCTGACTCCAGCAGCTCAGGTGGTCCTGCCTTCCTCTTGGTGCTTTGGATTAGGTGTGGAAATAGCTGCCCACGTGTCTCCTGGGCAGAGGACTTGCCCAGCAACCCAAGAGCTCGAAACTTTAAGAAACAGAAAGCTTGAGGGATTTATTTCACATATTAACATCTGCTTTGACATGAGGAAATGTTCTCTTATTGATATAGCAGTAACACTGTTATCCTTAATGCTTTCCTTTAAATCTCTATTTTCACTAGGCTTCATCTGTCTCATCATTACAGTCAGTTAAATGAGATCAAGAGGCTTAACGAGCTTTGAGTATCAAAGAACAGCTCTAACTTTGCCAGTTGCTAAAAACCCACAGCAGAGAATTCCCCAGTGCTGTTTCTGAAATATGCTGATTGGGATCAAAACCACCCTGTTACTGCAACTACGAATATGTCCTAAATCTGACTTAAAAAGAAATGCTACCCTAACAGCTGGATGATGACAACTACAAATTTCTCAGTTTAGTATCAATTTGATCTGCATTTTTCATCATAACACTGGATTAGACCATATGGGCTTTTCCCATGTTTATATCCCCAAA